TCGAGGAATCCTCTGGTATCCTCGTTCGGGGTGTCCGCGTGGTTGGCTTGACGGCCGTCGTCCTACTGTGGACGTTCGCGGCCGTAGTGCTGTGGTGGGCCGGACGTGTCGCCACTAACCGGCTAATGCACGCCATGAACGGTAACCCCTTTGGGAATGCTGTTCTGGTGTCGCTCGAAGGCCGGGAGGCTGTCTTTGAGGTTGCATCAAAGACTAAGGCCGGAGCACACAGGGTTCTTGTGAAGGTCGGGTCGGGCGCGGACGGCGCAGGCTGCGACTGCAAGGCATTCCTCAACGAGGGACGTTGTGGTCACATAGAACGCGCTGTTGAAGCTGCGGGGCAACTCGTGGCCATGACAGGCGCGAGCGCTGCCCCAACGCTGTCCGTCGCCCCGGCCGCGACTAGACGCGCCCGTGCGATCCTCGGCGCGCCGGCCCTGGAACAGGGGTGCCTTGCCGGCATGGTGTCGAAAGCGAGATCGCTCTCTGAAAGAGCTCGGAATGTCGGGAACCCGTCCGAGGGTTGCCTTGACGGCTTTACCAAGCTCAGAGGCCGCCACGAGGTGGCCACAGTGTCGGCGCCTCCGACAGAGACTGTTCCGAAGACGCCTGCAGCGGAGGCTTCCCGCCAGGGTACCTCTGCGGCGTCTCCGGCTCCGACAGCTCCCATGTCGAGCCAGGCACGGCGTGTCAGAGACTTCCCGATCCCTGACGGCTTCGAGCGAGCCGGGGTCAAGTTTCTGACCCTTCCGGAGTATCACGCTGTGGTACAAACGATGCTATCGGACGCTGGGCATGGGGACCACGTTTACGTGCGAGCCTACAGCTTCGATAGCAAGCCTTTGGTTGGAGCCCTCGTGTCCTCGCTGGAGCGAGGCGCCCGAGCCCACGTGCTTGCCGACAACTCGCAGACGAGCCGGACCAAGCTCCAGCTGCAGTCCCTCAAGGAGCTAGGGGCGGCTGGCGTCCAGGTCCGTGTCGGCAAGGGCACCTCGGTCAAGGCGGCTTACGCCGCCGAGAACCGCACGGACGTGAGCATCGGCGCAGGCCTCGCGGGCATCCACCACGCCAAGACGGTGCTCGTGACGAGGCCGGACTCCACAGTTAGCGCCGTGATAGGAAGCCTAAACTTTAGTGCTAGTTCACGGGCCAACGCGGAGGTCGGCATCGCGGTCGCCAGTGTGCTGACCTCTGAATTTAGCCAAAAGTGGCTAGATTCGTTTGGCACCGAGTGGTCCAAGGCGCTGAAGCTCGAGGAGTTCGAAGCACCTCAGCGGAACCACCGCGGGCGGGCAAAACCCTCAAATGTCCAGCAGCCCGCCGCGCAACCCAACGTGGAGCCGCAGTGACCGTGGACTAGAAGTCGCGGACTGCGCTCCGCCCTTCTAGCCACCTGTGGCAACTTCAGTTTTGGTCGCAGCACCTAGCTGCTTTCCGATGAGACGACAGGGTGGCGTATCCGCTCTACAGGTCTTTGACGGGAGCGGCTAGGGAGGCACGGTAGTGCTCCCGAAGCGCGTGGAGTAACGCCGCAGCTTCAGCTGCTCGTTTCACCAGCCCTGTGGCCGCAGTGCGGCGCAGGCTGTGTACAGTAGGAAACCAGAGCCTCGTGCAGCACAGGCCGTGAAAAACGAAGGTCTTGTGCTGAGTGCGAAGGGTTTGTAGGAGGGCAGGGTCTGTAGGTCAGTTTTACGGCCTCCGGCCGCCCGCGGAATCCTACGGCTCTATCGTGCTCTCGGCTGAGGGGCGAATGTAACTGTACATAGTCTGCGGGCTGGCTGTTGTGCTGTATGCTTTTATGCATGCTCTTCTGTAATTCGTATTCATAACATTTTTGGCTCAAGTGAGCACGGCAGTGTGTCGTTGGTAGCTTCTCGTTGCCGCGACGCAATTGCGCGCAGGCCGTCCTGGGCGGACGTTCGACCTGTCACGGTCGTTGGACTTTCTGCTTGGACGGAAAACGAGGGTGCGTGCTGCCCCTTTGGGTTTCCGTTCTCCACATACTACTACTACGACTACTACTACTACTACTACAAGTACTACTACTACTACTACTACTACTACTACTACTACTACTACTACTGCTACTATTACTACCACCACTACTACTAATACTACTATTACTATTACTACTAGCAGTACTAGTACTAGTACGAATACCATCACTAGTACTACTACTACGACTACTACTACTACTACTACTACTACTACTACTACTACTTCTACTGCTGCTACTACTACTACTACTACTGCTACTACTACTACTACAACTACTATTACTACTACTATTACTACTACTACTACTACTACTACTACTACTACTACTACTACTACTACTACTACTACTACTACTACTACTACTACTACCACTAGTACTGGTACTAGTACCGGTAGCACCACTGCTACTACAACCATTGCGACGACTACTAGCACGATTCCAATCTGCCGCCGAGCGTTCGAACGACATCGATTCTCGAAAGGCGCCCTTGTGAGGCCGAAGCCTACGTACTGAGGACAAGTCTTCAACAAGCTCTGCCGGACTGCCTGCGTGTTTTTTCTGTCTTCTTAAAGCGCAAAGCTCCGGTTTCGATGCCGCAGCGAAAGCCGTGACTAGAGACAAGCTTCGTCGCTGCCGCAACAAGGAATCCTTTTTTGTGATTCCTAGAGGCCGGACGGTCTACGGCTCAGAGCACTGTATCCTTTCAACAAAATATACACTCACCAAAATTCAAAACGGGCTTTATCTACACCCACCAAACAGCAACAGAAACGGTACTTCAAGAGCCATCGCCCGGCACGGAGCATAGGTTCGCAAAACCTGTACAGCATCTGCAAGGGAAAGGCCTGGCGTCTCCGGTGCGGAGGAGGTGGAAAGGAGCATGCGCGTGGTTATTGGCGAAGATTCACACTATGTGGGATACCGGGTAGCGACCCCACATATATATGGAGAAGGCTCCACTGGGAGACCTAGTCTTGGATTAAAGTTCCGGTCTTGCGCCTAGGCCTCGTTATGGGCTTGGGCGTATCCTTCAGGGTGTATGGTTCAAGCTACAAGGTTTAAGCGCTAGCTCTTTTTTTTGAGGTTTATATGAAACGATTTTTTGGGGGTTTATATTACAGGAACAGGTTCGTGCCAGAAGGTCCGTAATTGTTGCAGGAAGTGCTGAGGCATTCTACGAGGAAGTCTGCTCGGATTAATCGGGTGTAATCGAAATAGATGACACGAGTGTATTGCCCTGAATAGGCGACTCCTCAGTAGAAGACCCAAAACAAAAAAGCCGAGTTCTCGGAAACTACCAAATACCCTGGCAAGCCCTAAATCCGAACCCTCAACCGCCAGGCCTAAACCCCGACCATTATAAGCACGGATAAGACCCCGCGAGCCTCTGCCGAGTTGCTTGGGGAGTGTGGTTTCGGGATTAGCGTCTCAAGGTTTAAAATTGTTTTATGAGCTATCGGGCTTGATCTTTAGGGATTAGGGGGCATCAAGGTGGCGGTTTAAGGACCAACGTGTAGCCTAACGGGTTTGCGGCCTAACTTAGGGAGGTTAATATATACTAATACCATGTTTGGAGTTCCTTTGCATAGTTAGGGCGAAACTACGGTCGAAGACATTGTTTCCAGGGCTTAGTTTCTTGTTCCAGGCCGAAAAACAAGCAACTTGGTTCGAAGGACGAGACGTCGAGAGCAACTGCAGCTTTGAGAAGTGGCTCGCAGCAAGCAAACCGAGGAATGTGGGGGAGAAAGAAGTTTCGGTGCCCTGACCCCAGAGCCCTAAACCTTAAATGTACACCCCTTAACCGCCTTAACCCTCAAACTCTAAGCCGAAGACTTTACGTTTAAAAGAGATCCCTTCAGCCTTCAGCGTAGGAAAACTCTCAGACCTTAAGCCGGAAACTCAAACTGCTTCGGCCTCGCCACCCATCAGGCCACCAAGATTGCCAGGCTTTGGCCTGAGCTGAATAGGACGCACGCACGCTGCGCGGAGATCTCGGAAGAGCTCCTCGCTCGAGGAGTCAGAGAACGCAACTGGGCCCCACAGGGTTTCCAACTGCTTCTTAACAGGCTACAGTCATGACGCAATCGAAGCTTACTCAAAGCCCGCGGCAACGTCTGCGGGGAGCCGGAAACTTAGCTCAGCAAGCAACCCTCCCTGATGGGAAACTGTACAAGCGATGTACGGTGTAGGGTTTAGTTCAGGTAACATTGGCACCACTCACGGTCACCTCAAACCATCCCGTACATGGTATCCTGCATCCGCTGCCTGTGCCGAGTAACTTGCAGACCTCCTTGATACCTTTTATACTATACCCCCCACATTCAGCTGCGTATATCAGGGATCTGACAAGCCCCCCCCCTCCCCCAAAACTAGAGAGGCGATCCAGTCGCCCCCAGCTTAGGGACGCAAAGCTGCAGCCTTCAACTCCCAGCCTGACACCCTAAAGCATTGCAGACAGCGACGGGGTTGATTACTCAGGAAGCTTGGACTGCGACGCTGAATCTAGGGTTTAGTGGTTCAGGGCTCAGGGGTCCTAGGTTTAGGGTCTAAGGTCGAACATCGAGAAACCCCGAACCCTAGATCCGAACCCGGAAACCCTCAAGTCTATCAATCCTCAAGCCTTCTACGGACACAAGCAGGCAGAGACCCTCACCAGGCCCAAGGGCAGGAACGCAGGCTCTTGCTGGAGGAGGCCCGCCACACCTGGTAAGGGGCAACAAAATCAACATCGGCGTTTAGGACATCAGGTTTCGGGTGTAGGCTTGATGCCTCAGTTCAGTCACGGGGTCGGGGTTTGGGCAGATGCGTAAAATGGATGACCTTTTCGGGCTTTGAAGTATGTTCATCCGCGTCCCATCGTGGGGGCATGAGACAGCTGCTGAACTCAGACCCTGCACACCCCAAGCCCATCACACGAACCCTCAACTTTGAACAACAGAAAACTAAGCCTCAAACCCGAAATTAATCCTGAAGGTGCGGCTTTTCTTGCCGTTTGCACGAGTCACTTGGTCACAAATTCGCAACCCCAGCAGCCCAAAGCTTCGAACCAGACAACAACCAGCACGTCTCCAATCCCGAGACCGCCCTGCTGCCGTGCATAAGTCGTCGAGCGGCTTACAGCCACATCGCTCTGCCAGAAGAATCGACGGCATACAACCTGGATAGCAGGCAGCTCGAGGTGCAAGCAGCTGCACCGAAGACCCTCCGCCTGCCAGGCTGCACGTTCTGGCTTCGGCGCACGTCCAGCGCTGGAAGCGGCGCGGGTGGTGGCGGCGGTGGCGCCACAGTAGCACAAGACGGAGCCGGCGTCGAAGCCTGGGAAGCCGGCATCCCTGAAAACCGATACGGAAAGCTTGCTGGGTTAATGCAACGGCTTCCTGCTGACAACATGATAGCTACGTCCTGGTCGCCTGCACCGCACAAGCAAGGTTGACCTGGCGGCTTACCATGAGGACATGCGGGAATGCCCAGCAGACACCCAGTGTCATGTATGAAACGCCCAGGGGCAGTCGACCGACCGAACACCTGATAGATCCTTTTCGTGTAATTTTACATTTTACATTTTTTTAATTTTTTACACGTTTTTGACGTGTAATCCTATCCCTGAAATTTACACTTTTTCGTGTAATTTTGGGTGTGTAAATTACATGCCAAAACGTGTAAATTATACACCCATGTTCTCCGAATTACACTCTGTTTCGGTACATTTGCAGCCGAGATTACTGGCACAAAATTCCGTTGTGCTTGTGTTTCCATGTGTTTCCCAATGCCATTTGGACGAAACACGCACACGAAAAACAAGATTTTGTTGTCTCCACTGAAGAATGCGGCCGACACAACAACAAACAGAACCAAGAGATGTATATACATGTTTGTGTGGAGGAGAGAGAGTCCTCTGTTCTTTTGAGCCACAAATTTGAACCAGAAGAATTTTTTTTTGGAAGTTTCAGTGACAGAATTTCGAGCCACCAGCACATCTTGTTTGTGGAGGAGAGATCCTCTGTTCTATTTGAGCCAAAAACTTGAGCCACAAGAATTAAATTTTAGGGTTTAGGGTGAGGTCTGTAGCCGAAAATTTGATCCAAAAATGAGAGGGTGTGTAAGGTCTGTAGGGTTTTATAGGGTTTAGGGCTTAGGGCCAAAAAGGTCTGTATAGGGCTTAGGGTTCGTGTGTGTTTTCCCTGTTTCTCTCTCACTCTCTGCGCGTGTGCCCTCACATCTCGTCGGTCAAAACTTCCTGCTGCTTTATAATGTGAGCTGTTCGCAGTTTCGCTGTGCGAAAGCTTCACACAATGAGGCATGTGATGCTCTTCACATTGGAAGTCGCGATGTGTCACAGGTTTCGAAACTGCACTGCGACGACATCTTTTTTCGCGAGAGCGATGAGAGTGCTTCCGCCAAGTGCGAGAGACCTCCCCCAACTCGGTGTAACACCAAGAAAGGAACAGAGAGGGGAGTTTGCTTTGGAGCGTCACAAGTATGTCTTCAGAAAGTTCCAGAGCTCAAAACCCTGCCAGAGAGCACACTCTGAATCTTCTTTTGTGGGAATGCAAACACACAGTCTGTAAACCCTTGGAGCAAGCCTTCGTGATTTGTGCCAAAACCTCCATAGCCCTCCCCTGACCTAACTCGGTGTAACACCAAGAAAGGAACAGGGGAGTTTGCTTTGGAGCTCGGTGTAACACCAAGAAAGACACAGGGAACTGCTATGATACCCCCGAGGACCTTCTTGAGCTTCTCGACAGCGCTTTCAGCCTTCTTTAGGAGCCCGTCCGCTTTCGACCACTCGGCCTCTGACAAGGCCGCTGGCACGGCAGGCTCCTCCTTCTTGTCCTCGATGGCTGGCATCGCCGCGGGCGGCGGAGCAGCCGATGAGCCAGCGGCGTTCCTGAGGTCCTCCTCTGTCGGCTCAGGCCTTTCCACAGGCTCGGACTTGATCGCTGCCACGTTCTTTCGCTCGTCCATCGAAGTGGACTTCAAGGTTCGCCATTGACAGAACACCACGTTGTCTTGGGTGACAACGGAGACTTCATCATTCAAGATCGCGGCCCTGAGCTGCTCATCCGACAACCCAAAGCGCCCTTTAAAGAGCGTTCTCGGCAATCCTTTGTCTCCCCACCCAGTGGCCTGCTTCTTCTCCAGACTGCTTTCCCCCGCCACTTCTGCGGTGTCGCAGGTGAGGGCAAGCTTCCCTGTCTCGGGGTCACGACTCACTGCGTTCTTCCTCTTGCCGTTGCCGCCGGCACTCAAAGGCTCCCACTCCGTCTTCATTTTCTCTGGCACTGCTCCTGCTGCGAGCAACACGTTGAACTTGAACTGCTTGCTGCGGTCTCGTCGACCCGGCCCAGCTTGGCTTTCCTCCGGCTCTTCTGCTGGAGTCTCGCCGGACTCCTCAGGCTCAAGCCCATTGATCCAGTCGCCGGTCAAGGCCTCTGCCATGCTTCGCTTCCTTGTGAAGGCCTTTGGCTTCGGGTCGGCCTTTGCCTTGGGGTCGGCCTTCGCTTTGGGGTTGGCCTTGTTGTCTTTGGGCTCGGCCTTCGCTTTGGGGTTGGCCTTGTTGTCTTTGGGCTCGGTCTTCTTCTTGGGGTCGGCCTTGTTGTCTTTGGGGTTGGTCTTCTTCTTGGGGTCGGCCTTCGCCTTGGGGTCGGCCTTGGCCTTGGCTTTGGGTGCTGTCTTGGCCTTCGCTTTAGGGTTGACAGGGTCGGCGGGCTTGGCTTTGCACTTCGACTTGGGCGTTGTGGGTGCTGGGGGTGCTGGGTTCGGCTTGGCCTTCGCTTTGGGCCCTTTGGGCTTGGCAGGGTCGGCCTTGGCTTTTGGCTTTGCGGGTGCCTTGCTGGGTGCTGGGCTCGCCTTCGCCTTTGCTGTGCTTTTCGCCTTTGCAACAGCCTTCCCCCCTGGCTTTCCTCCCGACTTCAGGATCCCCGGTCTTGGCTTACTGGGCTCGGCTGCTGGGGTCTCCTTTTCCTCCTCCTCCTCTACCTCGTCGTCGTTTTCCTCTTCTTCCTCTGCTCCTTCTGGGTCCACTTCTTCCTCAACCTCCTCTGGAGCCTCTTGCTCCTCTGCCTCCGATCACTTTGGCTTTGCCATAGCTGTGTGCGGGCACAAAAAAAAATCTTGTGCAAAAGATCGCTTCGGCAGAATGGGCTCCACGTCTCAGTGTCCATGACCGAAATATATATACATGTGCGGAATCCCTAGCATTTCTTCGACCTCTGTTATATATAGATATATATACACACATACAGAGAAGAAGAGAGAGAGCACCCAGGGAGGCCCGAAATTCACCAGAAGGAGAAAAAATTTCAAATTAAGCTTTTCTTTCTGCATTTATAGTTTTCTGTATTCAAAAAAGCTACACACACACATACAGAGAAGGAGAGAGAGAGAGAGAGAAAGCACGAAGGAGAAAACAAAATTTCAAATTAAGCTTTTCTCTCTGCATTTATAGTTTTCTGTATTCAAAAGCTATAAATGAACCCGATTTCGTTTGTTTTGGCTCACATTGAAGACTTTTCCAGCAAAAGTGTATGCACTTTCGGCCAAAAGTGTATACACTTTTGCCAAAAGTGTATACACTTTTGCCAAAAGTGTATACACTTTTGGTGAAAGTGTATGCACTTTTGATGAAAGTGTATACACTTTTGATGAAAGTGTATACACTTTTGGCGAAAGTGTATGCACTTTTGGTGAAACTGTATGGACTTTTGGTGAAAGTGTATGCACTTTTGGTGAAAGTGTATGCACTTTTGGTGGAAATGTATGCACTATTGGTGAAAGTGTATGCACTTCTGGTGAAAATGTGTGCACTTTTGGTTGAAATCTATACATTTTTGTTGAAAATGTATAGATTTTTGAATAAAATGATACGTTTCTGGTGGAAATGTATAGATTTTTGGTTAACATCAAAACAATTTTGGTAGAAATGTATAGATTTTTGGTTAAAATCTATACATTTTTGGTGGAAACGTATAGATTTTCACCTAAAATGATACATTTTTGGTGGAAATGTATGAACTTTTGATTAAAATCTATACATTTTTTATAGAAATGTATAGATTTTGTGCTAAAATGTATGTGTGTTCTGCAAAAGTCTGTGTTTTTTGCAAGTGAAAAAACATTTTTCAATAAAATCCATATGTACTCACTGAATTTTATTACTGGTTGCTGATAATCCAATCAAAATTACAATCGTTTTTAATATTTTTCATGAAGATTCCAATGGAATTTCTACAGAACTCTAAATTCGCGGATGAAATTTGGCTCTTTGTTTTAAAGAAAATGCTTGAAATGCTACGGAATTTACAAAACTCTTTTGTTTTACAATGTGAAACCGTCACAAAATATATGCAACTTCTACGGTTTCCGTCTCAAACCATTGAGAAGATTTTGACTTCATTTTGAACAATCACAACAAACCGGTTTTGGGAGCATAAGAACACTCACCCCACCCTATACCCCACCCCACCCCCCATGATGGTTTTCGCTGTCCCCTTGTTGTGTTTTGGTGTGCTCACATAACCCTCCCCTGCCCTAACTCGGTGTAACACCAAGAAAGGAACAGGGGAGTTTGCTTTGGAGCTCGGAATTCCACTAGATCTAGACCGGGCCGCGAAGCAAACTGTCCCTTTGCTGTCTTGTGTTTTGGTGTGCTCACATAGCCCTCCCCTGCCTTAACTCGGTGTAACACCAAGAAAGGAACAGGGGAGTTTGCTTTGGAGCTCGAAATTCCACAATCTAGACCGGGCCGAAGCAAAAACCAGGAATTCCACACAGCTATACCACACATCTCTCCACTGCACAGAAGCACACTATTTCTGCGATGTTTTCCTCTGCGACCACACGGCATCCGACCAGCATGGGGTCCTGGCAGCGATGGCCACCCCTCGATGAACCCGAAACGAAAGCCCTCCACCCTAACCCGAGAATTCTTATATAGCCCCCGAACCAGCTCTTGTGTGTCCCACAAGCCAGAAAGAAGCTGAAACCTCAGCCCCTTCAGCCACAGAAACCCGGGCCCCTTGGCCTTGTGCACCCAAAACAGCTCTCTCTTATCCCCATATACCCAAAAATCGAACCCCTCTGCCCTTATATATAACCCCAACCCCATAAACCTGAAACGAACCTGCAGGCCCTTAACCCGAGAACTCTCTCTTAACCCCGCGAACCCAAAACACACACCTTCGTCATGAATCCTCTAGACCCTCCAAGGATGTGGTTCGGAGAAGGAAATCGAAGTCACAGGAACCGCTGTGTGCCCGAAACCCGCGAAAAGCGCCACGACCTAGCACCCTCCGGCCTTCCACTTCTCAACCAGACGAGTCCACACTTCTCCAGCAGACGAATCCAAACCGGACCCTGTGCGAGTCCGGGGGCAATGCTTTTTTGGATTCGTGGCTTGATTGTAACAACCGACATGCGACCGAGTCTGCCCCGTTCTTTTGCTTCCATGCACTATATGCACACACTGACAAACACGTTGCGAGAGAGAGACGAACGATTTCGGTGCATCAACCGCAGAGAAATGAGACAGCACAGGGGTGCACGAGATTTTGCGGGTGGGCACACAGCGAATCGCGAGCAGCCACGTGCTGTATCCCTTGACCTAACTCGGTGTAACACCAAGAAAGGCACAGGGGAGTTAGCAGCCACGTGCTGTACACATCGAAAGGGCGATCATACTACACGGCCGAAAGTAGCTCCAACTTCCGGGCTATCACATCTTGCAGGGATTTGCCAGCAACCAGCATGTCCATGAGCTCCCGAGCAATCGCTGCCCTCGCTTCTGAAGCCAGGCCCTTCGAGGACACCTGCAGAAGCTGACAGCCCCTCTTCGTGCCGAGCCACTCACAGATGGCAATCCTCTCAGTCGGAACCCCTCTGTCGTACATCATGAACATATACTCAGCACCATCCGGAGCAGTAAAGATTTGCTCGGCCTGACCGGGCACGGCCTTTGCCACCGCCGCCGCCGCTTCGGAAGGCACGGCCTTTGCAACCGCCGCCGCCGGTTCGGAAGGCACGGCCTTTGCAACCGCAGCCGCCGGTTTCTTCTGAACCGCCTTCGACTTGAGTTTCTTTTTAACCACGGCCGTCGCCTGGGCTTTACCCTTGGCCTTGGCCTTGGCCTTGGCCTTGGCGGCTTCGATCCTGAAGCTGTCTTGGTCTCCGTGAATGCAGGCCTGCGACTTCTGGCCAAAGCAATCAGATCCAAGTTGCTCAGAGTCACCGGCTGCTCTGCCGCAGCAGCACCGGAAGAAGCAGCACCGGAAGGAGCCGAACCGCAAGGATCCGAACCGCAAGGAGCAGAACCGGAAGGAGCACCACCGGAAGGAGGAGGAGTGGAAGGAGACTTGAGGACATTGTCGAAAATTCGGTGCAATCCAGAACTCTCCTCGGTCGCGAAGATCTCGACAGAGGTCTTCGAGTTATGATCCACTGCTGTGTTTGTCGTACACAGGGAATCAAGAGAAACCATAAAGGTCAGGTCCACATCGGAGTCAGAGCCACCTTCGTCCTTGGCAGCCTCTTCAGCCTCCTCGTCATTCAGCTCGACCTTCTCCATGACCATTGTGACTTTGGCTTTCTCTGCCTCAGAAAGCCGCCTGAAAGCGGCTTCCCGTTTCTTCTTGTTAACTTTCAGCTGGCGAAACCAGCTGAGCAATATTCTGATCGAGATATCAACAGAGGCAGTGAACTTGTTCTCGTCCTGGCCGCTGTTGTTGGTAACGACACCGTTCAACATGCAAGCTTGGATTGCTGGAATCATAACTCTGCTGAGTATCTTGGAATTTCGACAAACATCGCTGACCAGGTCAAAGGCCAGGGCGGCAAATCTCGCCATCCACCGGGCATCAGCGCTTTTTTCGAAACTCATCCGGGCCCGGAACGATGCATGACCAGAGGTCTGTGGTGCTCTTGTCCCTTAAATGGCTGGTGAGGCATTTTTGCACATCTGACACCGACACAGTCGAGTCAGCACACACTCGCTTGTTGCTCGGTTTCCGCTGGACTTGCATCAAACGATCCAGACGAGTAGCCATGGCTCTGAAAAAGCTGTATATAGCACTAAAGTAAACCCTAACTGATGTAAGGCTTCACCGCTTACAGGAAAGCAAAGCGACACTCAGCAGCTCGCAACCATGGGCGCACCTTACGCGATCTTTTCCTCGAATTCAAACGTCAGAAGACTTCGCTCTCTTCAAACATGCCTAAGGCATTTGGAAAGATTGAGCTAAATATCTTTGCTCGAATCATGGCACTTTCCGGCCATATGACTTAAGGTCGTCTAAAAGTAGCTTTTGCATACCATCGGTCATGACTCAAGGTTTTTTCTTCGTAGCCTTACCTGATGGCAGCAGATAATCAAAAGCATGCACGACAGGACATCTGGCAACGTCGCACCTGTTACAGCCCTAATTTCTCCTCATCTTCACTCCTCCTTGACTGCGCCGCGAGGTTCAGTCACCCTCGTGAACTCTGTCCAGAGCGATGTAGTTGCGTGTTAAATACACACTCATATTCCCTAGCTCTTTCTAGGTCGTCGGCGTAATTGACTCTCTTATCTGGGTCATCCTCTGCTCGGTTCAGACAATAGTGGCAGATGCGCTTCCTCTGAACCCTCTCTGCAGTCCCTTGGTGTCGAAAAGCATGACAATCTCCGTAGACATGGAAACACTCGTTGTTCGGAACCACAAACGCTTCGGCCGGTGGCTCATGCACATACCTCAAAATAACCCTCGTCTCTGGGGCCACAACACGCTGAAACGCCTCACTGGTTTGGGTTCCTACTTCATGCGTTTCCTTGATTCCATGTGCCAGCTTCCTCAGCAATTCCAGCCTCTCTTCAGCCTGAGAATCTGCAGCTGAAGAAGGCTCAGCTGCTCGTGGGGGATTCGGTAGCTGCGCTGACGGTTGCCTTTGCGCATCACTCGCTCTGTTCTGCTCGCCGTCCAACGCGAACCTCCAGCTCCCTTTGAATCGCAGATGTAGTCGCATCCCTTAGCTTTTGGAGCCTGCGCACTCGTCGAGAACTTGCGCCAGGCGTGGCCCTATCGTAAGCTAGCCACATCAGCCACTTCAGCAGCTCCCATGCTAACAGAAACAAAATCACTGCGATCCAAAGCAAAGCCCACGTCACCATGCCATAGTCGACTGCCAACCCTGTCCTGACAACCAAAGCCTCTTCCTCATCCCAGCTATAGGCCTCTCCAAGTACAGCTTGCGACAGTACCAGAAGAGCTATGAGACCCTTGGGAATTTTATTAGGGGCTACTGCACTGCTGCTGCCGCTTGCTGCTGTTGGCTTCGGCTCTGGATCTTCTCCTTCATCATGCGGACCTCGCAAGTTGATCAAGCGACTCAAAGAGCGAATCCTTTGGGAAGCCAAAGCTTTAGTCAGCAAATCAGCAGGCTGAAATTCCCCATTGCGATGCTGCCCCACAATCATATTCCCGTTGATCAGCTCTAAGACCCATGCACTGCGAAGCCTAAGGTGCCTTGTTCTCCAGCTCCCTGACCCATTTGCGATTGCAAGTGCCGAGGTGGAATCTGAGAACAACTGGTGTGGCTTGTCAGGGGCTCTCACATCCTGAAGCATTGAATCAACGCTCTGCAGCGCGAAAATGGCCTCCGACATTGCCATCAACTCAGACTCTGCGGTGCTCAACGTCACTGTTGTCTGCCTGCTTGAGCGCCATGAGATTGTACAACCATTCAATTGCACAAGCCATCCAGTATGGCTCCGTCCCCCTTCCGGGGCAAAGCTCGCATCACAATAGGCTGTCAAGCCCGATCCATCTCCCTCATAGATCAAAGACAGGTCTATGGTTCTCTGCAAGAACGCCAGAACCTTTTCTCCAATTTGCACGGCTCTCCTAGGCGCTCTTGTTGCCAAAGATCCTACCAAGGATGCAGTGAAAGCCACATCTGGACGGGTTCGCTGCGAGATCCACAGCAATTCTCCCGCCCACTGCTGCGCAGACCTTAGTTCTTCTTGCGTGTATTCACCCTCCTCCTCGCTGACTGCAAACACGGCCAAGTCCTTGGAGAGAGGGATCACGTCCTTGCGGTTCGGCGAAATACCATGTAGCCGTATCAGCTCCTCTATGTAGGACTTCTGCGACAAAGCGTAACCTTGCGTACACATTGAAATCTCTATCCCCAGAAATCGCAAGGGCCCATCTGAAATCAATTGCAGGTCACTCGTCTTCCAAATCTACTTGATCGCCTTCGCCAGCTCCTTGATAATCGCTGCATGACCGCAAATCAACAAATCGTCGACGTACACTACAATGATGCCGATGAGCAACGACCCCTCTTGCAGCACTGACCACCACGATGGCTCCACCGTGCCCTGTAGCAAAGTGACCCTCTTGCCCTCGAAGATCAGTTGGATCTGTGCCAACCTCAAGTCTCTGTACGATCCCCAAAGTTTGGGTGATTCCTGTAGACCGTACACCGCGTGGGTCAGCCTCCACAGCTCATCAGGCTTACACAAGCCAGCTTTGATTAGCGCCTTGGGCGGGATGCCATACACAAGTGGTGCCCCTGCCAAAGCCTTGAGTGGAGTTTGCAAGAAAGCTGCTACCACATCGATCATGCCCAAGTCCCAGTTGAAGAAACGGGCCAATGCAATAGCCGCTCTGACTACTTCTGCTGGTGCCGTGTTGGTGTACACCTCGCCGGCTTGGTGGGCTGCAAAGTTGCCGCATATGACGATTCGGGATTTTCGCTTAAACCAAACACTGTGTTCTTCACCTTCAGGTGGAGGGTCTGGTGGTTTCACGGTGTATACTACCTTCATTGGCAGCACTTGACCCTTTCCAGATTCAACATCCCGTCGGACTTCCGGATCATGGCATTGCACCCGATCGACTGCATGCTCCAGCGAACTCACCTCCTTTTTCAGAGATTGCAGCCAGCTTTCGAAGTGCTGGGCCACTTCTTTGGGGTTCACCGTGTGCACAATATTCAACGGGCTATCCAATGACTCCAGTAGTGCTTCCACATTCTCAGTATAGCCAACCTCAGCTTTGGAGATGCACACCCCGAACTGCGACTCAGTAGCCACCTGAACTGTGCCTTTTGCTTCATCATCAAGTAGCAAACGCATCTCCCAAGAAACCCAATCTTCACCAACCACATCATTAGAAGCTCCCGAATGTTTTGCATCACTATCTTCACCTTGGGGGTTCTTGAGAAACCGCACCCTGGAGCTCGACAGCCTCCTCGACTATCGTGCTCTTATCCTCGGCCTCGCCGTCCAACGTCTTCTCCACTGACAGCATGTTGATGTAGATTTCAGCCTGAGGATCGTCTTCATTCAAGGGCATCGGAAAACCCAATTCCCATAGTAGTTCCCGGTCTGAACGCGGAAGGTTCTTCATCACTCCCGGGGTGTATCCCACTAGAACCAATCGCTCTCCTTTCCATGGAAGAACTGCATGACGGCGGTGGGGATTCAGGTAGAATACTTGTCCTTCTTGAATTGGGTAGGCACAGCCATAACGCACTCTACCTTCACGAGATTGTAGCTCTAGGATTCTCCCCGATACAACGTCACCATTTCGAAGTTCCTGCCAAATCTCTCCCCCGCGCTTAGGCATGACAATCGGCAGCAAATAGTTCAAGGTGCCCATGGCATTATTCCGGTCAATGTGAACTTCCCGCTCATTGTTCACGGAAATGAAGACTGAGGCAAACTCTGCATCTGGAGCCTTGTCCTTCAGTAACTTCAACGCCACCCTTGCGAGCCACGGTCTCTCTATTGTTGCTTTGGTCACGCCTGCTTTTCCTCCAAATCTGAACATCCCATAGTTGTTGTCGGTAGAAGGTAGGTACTTCCCCGCCTGGATGATAATGGCTTCAGCCTCCTCCTGTGACCAATCCCCAAGAACTGACTCTGCCCATTTCTTGAGACCCTCATCCTCAACGACCGTCACCTTGGAAACCCCAACCACATCTCCAGACCCCGCTGCCTTGCCCCGTACTCTACGTTCTGGTGGGCCTGGCTCCTCCGCATGGAATCTTTCGGCCACAGGACCGGGATCTTGGAGGCCAGCTCGCACATGTAGAGTGTGAACAAACTTCTCGCCCTCATCGCTTGCAATGAACACCAGATGACCTTTGCTAAAACTTTCTGAGCGACCTACATATACTCCTTGAGTCCACTTGGGTGCTAGGTCATCAAGCTTCGGGCCTTCCAGCTGGCGCTTGCGTACCATCACCTTTGCGCCAAACGGTGCTGCAAGCATTGGCTCAAAAGCTAACACATCTGCTCTTTGCATCGTGGCTGCCGTAGACACCGCCGTTGGCCAGAGATGCTGTGGAAGCCCTGCTGATAGGAGAAGGGCTCTGGCTCGCTGCTTGATCCACCTCACCGTTGATTCTGCAGCTCCATTCGTCTGGTGAACTCCAGCTTCAGAGGTGGTGGCCCTGATTCCTTGGCGTTTCAGCCACTGCTTTGTAGCCCTAGCTTGGAACTCCATACCGCGGTCCGTGTGAAAGCGCAACACCGGGATATTCAAGGATTGGCAATACAGAACTACATCCTGAACCGCCTCCAGTACTGTTGCCGCCTTATCGTCCCGAAGACCTGCCGAGAAAATAAGATTCACCATCTCCGGGGCCGCCAAGTCGAGGTCGTCCTCAGGGTCGCGCTTTCCCCGCTCTAACTCCGGAGGATCACCTTCATCATCTGCTTCAGCTCCAACAACATCACGAACTTCTTCACCACTAGGAGCGGCACCCTCCGACGCCAAGCCATCATCACTGTTATCATACTCCTCCTCGGCAAGCTCACCCTTGTCATAGTCGACCCAAGCCCCCCTTCCATCATCCACGGAGGTCTTAGGCACTCTGAGCTTTGCTACGAAGATGTACTTGAACGCCTTTGGAAAAGCTCCCCGCGCGTCCGGGTCTGAACCTCCTATCTTCACTGGACCCGACAGGTCAGCTGACAGCACAAAAGCCGATGGGTGCTCCAGACGGGAATGTCTTCTTCCAGTCCCGCCAGCTTGTACACAAACAGTGCAATCGGCTCTATACGGTAGATGCCCTCTCCGAACATGATCTCTCCACTGCTCTGCGCTCATCCGTAACATTCTGGGCACTGTTCCCCAAGACCTGAGCGCAATCACGAGGTGCTCGAAAAACTCTGTAGGCCACACGCATGCTGGGGTCCTCTCCGCAATTGGCCCGTCACTATGGTATCTCATCCGAAGTCCATCTAAATGCCGTAGGGGAAGGTTGGTTCCCAGCGTTGTGTGCCTTGTGAAAGCCTTGCCTAGAGCCGCCATGTCGAGATTGTAAGAGCTCAATCCAGCTTCCAGCGCATACTCAGACCAAAGGGATGTTCGCCAAAAGCTCACCACATCTGGGTACAACGGGTCACCAAACTTCAGATATCCCCTAGGGTCCCTTGGGTGCTCGAGCATGAACGCGACTTCCTTGGGTGCATCTGGCTCCAAATCTGCTCGAAGCCTCCCAGCAGTTGAAAGCGCATGGAGATACAGCATCCTGGCAATCAGTTGGGTCTCACGGTTCACCTCATAAACGTCAGCATCGGATTGCCCGGGCCAGTTGCCATAGGGGAACTCTTGACTGCGTAGGGGTTCTGGACCCCCCGTAACATGCCTCGAGATCATAAACGTTCCCTGCGGTGGCCCTCCGATGATCCCGGCTATCTTCCCCTTCCTGGCAGCGTACTCCAACACTCTCCACACCGAGGGGCGAAGGATGTTTTGGGTGCGCCCTCTAGTAATGTCAAGCTCCAAAACCACATACCCATGCCCTTCAAGGTGTCGAAGATCAGCTCGCTCACGCTCTCCTGCAAAAAGGTGAACGAGCCATTTCTTTGAAGCCCACAGCCTTTTTCGAGCTCGGCGATTCAAGTGTTCCAAGCCCCGAAGAACGTCCCATCCATTGGCCTCTGGCACTGGCTCCGTAAGCCCTTCCAAACACTGCCGAGGCACTTCCTGAAAGAAGGGGGCTAGCCTTGGTATTCCGCTTCAGCACCTCCAGGTTCTCATCTTCAAGACGGGCTATCAGCTTCAAGGCGTCCCTCTCCGTAATCTCCGGGCACCCTTCTCGTACTCTTAGCTGGAACACCTCACCGTTGCGACCCTCAAGCTTGCACTTGTTACTACTCCATGTCATGGTATATCCAAGTTGTCCAACAAGCGCTCCCAGTGGACGTTGTTGGCACCAGGATTGTTCCAGCCTTATTCATCTTGAGGAAGATAGACTGGCCACCTGCCAGGTTCACTGTGACTGGATCTGCTTCACGCCACTCCTCCTCGGACCGGGCGCGCCTTAGCGCGTGAGTTGCCCCCGAATCCACAAGTGCAAACATTTGATCTCCTCCATCACCTCCACTCAACGCGCACTGCTGCTTCAAAGTCACCACATTCAGCGATGGGCCCTTATTCGAAGCCTCAGCCCCTGCGACCTTTGCCGCTGCTTGCAGTAGCGACTCCAATGTCCACACAGGCTCGCCCGTGACTACGCCCGTCGACGGCGCACCTCCAGGGGACACCTCACCATCTGGCTCAAGTCGCTGCACTCTGGGCGGACTGGAAGTAGTAGGAGCTGTCGCTGAGGTAGTAGATGTTGTCTGCTGGCTCCCCTGTCCAGACTTCGGGGATGGTCGGTTCTGCTTAGTAGGGCAATCCTTGTTGCGGTGCTCTTCGCTCCCACGTCAAGCACTTACGGGCCTTTTCATGCTTGGGTAAGGTCGAAAGATCATGCACATATGGACATTTTTGACCACGACGACACCCGGCAGGACGGTAAAAGTATTTGCACGGAGATTTCGCTGAAGTAGTCCCAGGTGTCACTTGCTGCTGCCCTGTACCCAAAGCCTTAATCTTCGGAAGGAGCGATTGCGTTGAGGACCGCGCCGTGCTGATGCTCTCGAGCTCGGCCTGGAGATGCTGGTGGTAGCGCTTCACATCCTCAAGGCTCGGTTGTCCATCTATGCGAAGTGTCGACCGAAGCAACTGCGTACGAAATTGCGAGTCGCCCCCCTCCGCTATGAACTTTGAGGTTACAGAGGTCAACGTCTTTGCCAACACAGTCCCATCTGGACACAACATGTTGAGGTCGGCGCACCGCTGGATCCACCTTGGCCAACCCCGCAGCCACGTAAGAACTTCATCTAGGCTTTCTCCCGCGGAGGGCGTCTGGAGGCTCTGTAAAACCAGGGTTTTCTCAGAAGCGCCTCCCGGCTGATAGGCTGTGTGGAGCCTGAAGAGAATCAAGACTGCATCCTGAACAACCCTACGGGCAATAAGGTCTTGCCGAACTTGCTCACTCAAACTCTGAAGAAGCATCGAGCAGGCACGGGCGTTAACCCTCGTCCATTTGCCTTCCGACAGGGCTGAGCTATTCAAAGGTTGCAGCTGAAGCCTTTCCAGCGGAGTACACCCCAGCCACTTCGCATAAGTGTCCCGGACTAAGGACACGACTTTGCCCCACCACATTCCAGATGATGGGGATAGGTCCTGCATAGACACTGTGATCTGCGCCAGCCAATCCTGAAGCACGATTCCAGCCGATTGGCCATCCGGAGAGACCAGTGGTGGGAGAACGGCTACAGAGGACTTCACAGCTTCTGGCACATCATCTTCCAGTCCTCGCTGCAGCGTCTTTGCTTGCATCTCCTGCAGCTGGGTCATACTCTTGGTCAAAGCCTCAAGCATTGCAGCAGTTTGATCCCCTTCTACCCGCGGGGCAGTAGTGCCAGGATTCCCAAAAACTTCAGGCTGCCGTTGGGAACCCAGCTCATGAGGCTGCGTGGCGGACCTCCTTGCTGTAACTTCATCCCAGAGAGCTGTAAGAGGATCACGCCATGCATCTGAAGAAGCCCCATGAACTATAGGAGGATCCCGTAGAGAACTCCCTTGATCAGGTACTCGAGGGACTCCTGAAGCACTGGGTCCCGGTTGCTCCACCCTGGTCGCGGCCTGCACCTGCGCTGCCCGCAGCTGATCATGTAATCGAGCATTCTCACCTTCCACCAACTGCAAACGATCCAAGAGTCCGCTTAGCTGCCGCTGCACTTCTGCTTGTATGGCTTCTGTCGGTAGATCGCTGCTGCTGGGGGTAGGGATATTAGGGTTAGATTCTATTCCCTTAGGTCTCATAACCCCTACCGGCACTCCCAGTCCTGGAGTCACAGCCTCCGTTGCCGCCGGTCTTGGTGGCTCATCACCTCCAGTGCCACTTGGTTGAAATATGCGCCGGGGCCTCGGTGGAGACTGCAGAGGACTTGGCAACCACGTTACCTGAGGGGCCCTAAACAACTCCCCCAGGCGCGCCATCCAAGCTGGAAGGCCATTGCCTCCAACCTGTCTCCCAGCATCCATTCTTGCCGTAGACGCTGACAATCTCGATCGCGGCGTCATAAAACCGCCAAGCATTCCTTCGTCCTCAGAATGCACAAAAGCCGCTTCTCCAGAAACAAACAAAGCCTGATCAGCAGATCCTCCTCCACTTGCGCCCACTTGGTCGGCGATATTGGTGCGAGGCTCCAATCCCTGCATCAAGACCTGGTCGCTCCCAGGATCCACGCACTGCTTCCAGCATTCAAGGCTCTGGTAGTCGAGGTAGTCGTCTGGGGCAGCGTCTCCGTCCCTGGCTGAACGTCCCCGCCTCCTATACCGCCTCCTCCACTACTTGTATCTGGCTGCACTAGCTCAGATCCGGGGTACAGCCCCTGACCTGAGCATCGTGCTCCGGTTTCCTCCTCCGGTGGCGGTCGCGCCACCCCTTCGGTTCCCTCGGAACCATTCGCTTGCGGAGCCACAGGCTGAGCTTGGGAACTCATAACCTGATGTAAGGCTTCACCGCTTACAGGAAAGCAAAGCGACACTCAGCAGCTCGCAACCATGGGCGCACCTTACGCGATCTTTTCCTCGAATTCAAACGTCAAAAGACTTCGCTCTCTTCAAACATGCCTAAAGCATTTGGAAAGATTGAGCTAAATATCTTTGCTCGAATCATGGCACTTTCCGGCCATATGACTTAAGGTCGTCTAAAAGTAGCTTTTGCATACCATCGGTCATGACTCAAGGTTTTTTCTTCGTAGCCTTACCTGATGGCAGCAGATAATCAAAAGCATGCACGACAGGACATCTGGCAACGTCGCACCTGTTACAGCCCTAATTTCTCCTCATCTTCACTAACCCTGAACCCTTGATGGCTCTGAAAGCTATATAGCTCTAGAGTAAACCCTAACCCTGAACCTTTCAAGCTGAAGCCCAATAGCTCGAGTACAATGGGGGGGGAACCTAAAACCCCAAGCTTGACGGGTTTGAAGGGCTTTACAGAGGTGTGGAGATTTGGGCTTGAGAGCTTTCCCTGCCCTAACTCGGTGTAACACCAAGAAAGGGACAGGGGACTGCTATGATACTCCCTTCCCCTGACACTGTGCGAAGACAGCCTGGGCACTACAATGTCATCAAACACATGTCGAGTTGCCCGAGCCTTGGCGGAGGCTTGCTGCTTGCAGATGATGTCCCACAGGCATCGAAGGATTTCCTGCGGCAGCAAAAGCACAAAGAACAAATCGATGTTATGAGCCGTACCACCACATTTGCAACACCACGTCCATCAAACACACATGTAGCTGCCGCCTTGCATAGAGATTTTTGCGAAGGCACAAGGCCGTGAGTTCAGGTGAAACAGAGAAGCAAGACGGCAGCCCGAGCCACACAGAGGCTTTTTACGGGGTGCAGAAGATGCTACACCTGTGCGATGGCCGTGCCTGGCCTCCCCTGCCTTATATAACTCGGTGTGACTATCCATGTTCTGTGTTTGGTGGCAAATAGCTATAAGTAATAAATATATGTCAACCCTTCTTATAACATACACACAACTCACACCAAGAAAGGGACAGGGGACTGTGCTATGATACTGCCTCCCTGCTCTCACACTCCCTCCCCTGCCCTGACTCGGTGTAACACCAAGAAAGGAACAGGGGAGTTTGTTTGGGAGCTCAAAAGTCCACCTCATGTGGGTGGCTCACAGTCCGGGAGTGCTTCAGACCTCCTCGACGGTCATCACCCAGACCCAGAAGCCGTCCTCCATGATCTGGTACCAGCAAATGATGAGGATGGTCTGGGTGCCCACGATGTTCGCCATGTTCTCGAACTCGGGATCCTCAGGCCTCTGGAGCAGGACCACAGGCCACCAGCTACTCTCGGGCTCGGGGCTCTCGAAGACCATCTGCGGGTTCCTCAGGGCCGCGGTTTAGGGTTTAGGGTTTATGGTTTAGGGTTCAGGGTTTAGAGGGTTTAGATGGTTTAGGGTTTTTAGAGGGGTTATAGAGAGGGTTTACAGGGTTTAAAAAGTTTAAGCCTTTGGAGCTCGGTGTGGAGCTTCAGGTGGTCCTTGGAGTACGAGGCATTCGTGTACTTGCCGGACTTAGGAGCATAACTCACCCAGGCAAGATGGTACTTGGCCACCTGGGCTCGTGTCCAAACCCCCTCTGTGGTCACTCTTCCTATACTATTCTGTAAAAATTCTATAAACCTTATCGTTATTTTTTATTGGTTCTCCTTTTTACCCACAAGCCCACCTGCTCCTTTGTGAAATCAAACGTTTTCGCATTCTTGCTCTCGCCGTACTTCACCTTCATGGCCTTGGTGGCATGGATGCTCCGTACCAGGGACGGAAGCTTCTCCACATCGCCCCAGTACTCCACACTGTTTGCCAGCGACAAACAGTGCAATCCGCCGCCGAATCGCCGAACTTTCGTGAAGGACTCCCGGACTGCAGCCGGGGTCATCGCACTTGGGTCCGTGAGGAGGTACGACGACTTGAGGTGCTCCTTCATGTAATTCTTGTGGTCCTTATTCTTCACGTGGTACTCGTCCACGTACTTGTCGCAAAAGGGGCACTTCTCGTTCTTGTAGCAGGAAGTGAGGACCTTGTCGGCCTCCATCACCTGCTCGTCCGAGATCTCCGGCATCTTCATGCCCGGGCTCTCTTGAAACTCTCCAAAGAGCTTCTTGAACAGGTCCTCCTTCTGGTTCTGAGCCTCCGTGAGGTTGCCGCTGCCCTTGCGGTACTTCTTCACCATCTTCAAGATCTCCTCGTAAGGCATCTTGTCTGCCTCTTCCTTCGAGATGATCCCCTTGTGGATCAAAGCTTTCTTGGCCTGTTTCGCCTCACACAGAGGGCCTCTTCCATGTTCCGGCTTGCTGTTGGACCGCTTTGCGGTGCTCATGGTCTCGTTGTCGGACGGAGGGTCTGGCTCCTCCATCACAACATCTTCCGGCACTTTCGTGCTCTCGGTGCGGGCATCGAGCCCCTCCAGGGCCGTCTTGTCCAACTTCTTCACACTCCTGCTGGCCGGCTCCATGGCGAGGAGCTACGAATTTAGATCTATATATAAAAGGTGCCCACACAAACAAAATCTACAATTAAAAACACATCTAAACTATAACAATAACATACATTCGCTAACCATCTTATAGATGCCTGCCCTAACTCGGTGTAACACCAAGAAAGGGACAGGCGGGCACAAAGAAAGATATACGAACTAAAACATGTATAAAGCTGCTTGCTAGCACATGTGTGTGAACCTGTGTGTCTATAACAAAACATGCATTAGCTAACCATCTTATAGATGCCTGCCCTAACTCGGTGTAACACCAAGAAAGGGACAGGCGGGCACAAGGAAAGTAAAGCTGCTTGCTACCACATGTCACATGTGTGTGAACCTGTCAATAACATAACATGCTTTCGCAACCCGTCCGACGGTTGCACACCAAAAAAAAGTTGCCGCTGCTTCGCGAAGCCACCAAAGGCTGCAAACCACACACACACACACAGGCACATGTGTGCACATGCTTTGGCATCCGGTCTTGTGAGCACACAAGCACCTCTCTCTCTCTCTCTCTCTCTCTCTCTCTCTCTCTCTCTCTCTCTCTCTCTCTCTCTCTCTCTCTCTCTCTCTCTCTCTCTCTCGGAGGTCCTGCCACGAAAAGACCGAGAATGTTTGCCAGGACCACGAGGAGCTCCACAGATCTTCGGCTTGCCTGTCCTGCCACACAAAGATGAAAAGATCACCAAAACCGGGAGCACATTCACTGTTCGAGCAAGTCCTGCCACCACCATAGCCGGCCATCCAGGGCGGTCACATCAAAGCACACTGTGCATCTATCAACGATACAGGATTGTGAACTTGTTCTGCTCGTCTCTCAATCACCCTATATATATATATATATATGTATCGACAACCCGACATATATACATATATATATATATATATCCTAAACCAGAAAAAAACATCCATATTGTATGTTCGTAATAAGTGCAAAAAAGGATGTCCTCTGCTGAGTGCGAGAGACCCACCCCTGCCCTGACTCGGTGTAACACCAAGAAAGGGACAGGGGCGGGCTTGAGAAGAGACACACGGCCCGGCAGCCCTAATTCTAATCATGAAAATCACAAGTGCCCTCGCAATGCCTTCCGGCTTTAGATGGCCTCCCCCGGGGTCTTTTGCAAACACCAGTGCAAGTCTCACCTCCACTCGGCCAGGGTGGATCCGCCATGCCTGAGGGGTGTGCACCTTCCTTCAACAAGGTCACAGGAGTGTGCTTCCGGTTTTGCCGCCCCCGAAAGCCCGGACGGAAGCTTGTCTGCTTCCTCCTCCTTCATGACCCCCTTGTCGACCACCGGTTTCCATCAGGCTGTTTGGCCTCTAGCAGCTGACCTCCGTGAGCCGGTTACTTGAGGAGGTCCAGTGCTACCGTCTGGATCTGCATCCAGACTTGCCGGTCGAGGAGTGGTGCTGCAGTGATGTATGGCGGGGGGTAGGTGATACTGTCTCACGGACAATCATGCACAAGTCACACAAGCAAGAACTGATTTCAGGAGCTCTTGTGGTTTAGAGGATATATATATATATATCATAAAAATGCATCCTGCCAAGTGCGAAAGACCTATATATACTCGGTGTCAAACAAAACGACACAGGGGAACCCTAGCCCTGCCCGATAACTCGCTCTCTCGCTCTCTGGCTCTCTCTTTCTCTTTTTCTTTTGTTTTTTCACCGAAACAAGACAAGCCATGCTCGCGGGCACTTCGGCTTGTGCTCGGCCTTCGGAGTCACAACTGTACATGTTGTCTCTGTCGGCAAATCTCGCTCTCGGAATCTATACGAATCTATCGCCACGTCGGCCTGCCCGGCATTCGGAATCCACTACTTTTTCGACACTTCGCACTTCCCAGTGCCTGGTTTTCAAAACACCTTTTCGGCACAGCTTGGCCCATTGAACAAAATAGGACAAAATTTACACGCCAGAATTTACACAAAAAAGTGTAATTTTT